CAAGAGCAGTCAGTGCTCTTAACCACTGAGCCATCTCTCCAGCCCTTCAGTTATATTTTTTAAGTAGCTTAACTCATATTGTGGGTGCAGGCTAGAAACTCTCCCCAAATTTAATGTACTTGCAAATAAAATTGTTAAGAAGGCTAGGGGTATAGCTCTGTGGTAGATTACTTCCTTAGCATTTTCGAGGCCCCAGGTTCAGTACCCATCACTGCAGAGGGAAGGAGGGAGGGAAGAAAGACTGTTAATGAAGCTTAATTGGGTCTTGACAGGGTGTGGTAGCACACACCTTTAATCCCAATACTCAGGAATCAGAGGCAGGCAGATTTCTGTGAGTTGAAGGCCAGCCTAGTTGACATAGCAAGTTCCAGGCCAGCTAGACATAGTGAGACCCTGTCTCAAAACAAAAAATTTAAGTGGGTCTCACCAGATATGGTGGCTCCTGCTTGTAATCCCAGAACTTGGGAGGCTGAAGCAGGATTGCCAGGAGTAAAAGTCAGCCTAGGCTACAGAGTAAGTCCGTATTGCAAAATTTCATTACTTCAATAATTAACTGGATTTCAACTCAAATTTCTTCTGAGTTTATCCTTTAAGAAGCTCATAGTGGGGGCTGGAGAGATGGCTTAGCAGTTAAGAACACTGATTGTTCTTGCAGAAGACCCAGGTTTGAATCACAGCACCCACATGGGAGCTAACAACTGTCTGTAACTCTAGTTGCAGGGGATCTGACAGCCTCTTCTGTCCTCCATGGGCATTGCATGACACGGGTGCACTTACCTACACTCACGCAATACACGCATACACATAAAATAAAAATAATAAAATATTTTTTTTAAAAAAAGAAGCTCATAGTGGGGGCTGGAGAGATGGTTCAGTGGTTAAGAGCACTGGCTGTTCTTGCAGAAGACCAGGGTTCAAATCCCAACACCCACATGACAGCTAACAATTATCCATAACTCCAGTTCCAGAAGATCCAGTGCCCTCCGTGGGCACTGCACAACATGGGTGCACTTACATAGATGCAGGCATAACAACATACACATAAAAAAATAGAATTAAATTTAAAATTTTTTTGGTCTTTTTTGAGACAGGGTCTCCCTGTAGC